GAAAAAACACCCGATCTCGAACCTTCGAAGGAGGAGGTCGTCAGTCTCTTCGCCGTCATCACTGGAGGCCGTCGAGCTGTCCAAACCCTAGCCACGATTTGATCCCCAAATCCTCCCCACAGACCTTACCCTCTCCCCTCCTCCTTACAGATCCTTCGATATCACTATCGTCGCCATCACTCCCGAGAACCATCGGACTCGTCGCCATCACTGGAGGCCGTCGAGCTGCTGATCTTGCCGTCACTGGACTATTGACTCTCAGGTAACTCAGCTCACTCCTTCCCATGACAACTCAGTTGTCCATGTTTTAGTAATAAGGGTTTTAGTTTATGTTTAGTTTTTTGCTTCTCTTGCTGGTGAAGGAATTGCCTCATGTTCTCAGAGGATTATCATTAAATTATTGACAATTCCTCCAAATATGATTGCTCAAAGGATAGATGATTGCATGTGTTCAGATTGGTCTGCAGTTTGCTCTAACTGAGAAAATCATCCTCAATTAGACAATATGTTAGTAGTCTAAGACATAACCTAAATCATACATTTCTTTGACGATTGCTTGACATCCTTGCTGCTTATAGTCTAAAGATTTTTTAACTGAATTGAACTTTTCCTCTTCTCCTTTGTTTTATATTCCAATAAGTTGTTTTGAGCATATATTTTAGAATTGTTTCTAACTTCTATAGAACCAGGGAATTGACGCTAACTGGAATAAACAATATTGTCCAGGTTGAGTCTACTGCGAAGTAATTAAGTTCAGGTGTGACTAACATTGCCAGTATTGGCTATCTGGTTATAAAACTAGTTGGCTCCTTTGCATGTGTGGATGAATTATCCCTCTTTCCTTATACAATTTATTCCTAAAAATACATAATTATATCTTTTCTGGTTGTAATTCAATATTCTTTGTTGTATTAGGTTTGGTTATTTTTTGGAATGGAGGACACAAATTCAACTAGTGTAGAGTTCGGATCAAGTGCTATTGGAAGTGCAATTGCGGACAATACTATAAATGCTCCTAAACCACTACTAGGAATGAAGTTTAATAGTTATGAAGAAGGTTATAACTATTATAACTCTTATGCATTGTTGATGGGTTTTGGAATAAGAAAGAGCACGGTAAATTACTCCCGTAAGACTAGAGAAGTGGTAGACAGAAAGTATGTTTGTGATAAGGAGGGCCATAGACCTAAAAGAGACAAGAAAGAAAATCCAGTTCGGCGAGAGACCCGAGTGGGATGTAAGGCAATGATGCGAATTAAATTATTAGAGGACAAATCGTGGGAGGTCACGGGGTTTATTGAAGAACATACAAATCATGTGTTGAGTAGTCCAGACAAAGCAAAAATGCACAGATCACATCAACAATTCCATAAAACTCAATGATGTAAAAAACTTATTGATAGTTTGCGAGAAGAAGGTATGCCTCCTTCCACTATTTCTCGTGTCATCAATACAACTAATGGAAGAGAAGGTGAATTAGTGACATCACAACAATGCATTGATCATATCAGAACCCAAAGATTATCACAACAATGCATTGATCATATCAGAACCCAAAGATTCAACAATATTGGTCATGAATGCATATCTATCATTCGACATTTTCAGAGTGCGACAGCGAATGATCCAGAATTTTATTTTGCAATAGAAGTAGACAGTAGTGGACAAATGAGGAGTGTTTTCTGGGCAGATGGAAGATCAAGAGCATCTTATTTGAAATTCAGTGATATTATTGTGTTTGATGTGACATACATAACTAATAAGTTCAGTCTTCCATTTGCTCCATTTACTGGTGTAAATCAACATAGGCAGTCCACTTTATTTGGTTGTGCATTATTAGCCGATGAACAGGAAGATACATTTGTTTGGTTATTTGAAGAATGGTTGAAATGCATGCATGGCATTGAACCAGGTGCTATTATAACAGATCAGGATAGAGCAATGTGTAATGCTATTCACTTAGTGTTTCCAACGACAAGACACCGTTATTGCTATTGGCACATGCAAAAGCATATTATTGATCATTTGCCTACTTTGATATCTCGTTATGGTGAACAGTTTCAAAGGTATTGGGGCTTGTGGTATAATAGTTCTTCAATTGAACAATGTGAAGGATATTGGGTTGAGATGAAAGAGAAGTTTGATATAAATGAAGAAGGTGAGGGATGGTTGCAAACAATTTACAAATGCCTAGATCACTGGGTGCCGTGTTATCTGAAGGACACTTTTTTTGCTGGAATGAGATCAAGCCAAAGGAGTGAAAGTATTAATGCATTTTTTGATGGGTATGTTAACTCACAGACTCAATTACACGAGTTTGTGACACAATATGAAAAAGCAGTAACTCATCGTCGCTTAAGTGAAGCCCATGAAGATTTTAAGAGTCTTAACACAGCCTGTCATGCTCCTTGGACATCCAATTGAGGTTCAAGCTGGAGAAATGTATACACGCAATATGTTTGATGTGTTCCAGACTGAATTCAAAGGATTTGGTACATAGTTTTGTGAAGAATTGAGAAAAGATGGGGACATTGTTGAATACAAGGTCTGTAAGTTTACAGATATAGAAAAATGGGAGGTGGTCACTTATGAACAATCTAGTCAGATGCAGTTCCGTTGTACTTGTGCTTTGTTTGAAACTAATGGTGTTGTATGTAGACATATATTATCGCAAATGATGGCTAGGCAAATGGATTCATTACCTGACCATTATATCCTACACCGTTAGACTATACATGCTCGACATCATAACATTGGGGTTGGCAACATTATATATGGAAGAAACATCACAAGTAGTGAAGAGAAGATTAACTTATTGAAAACTTGGGCTTTAAGAGCAAAATTCAACAATGCGCTCGAGCTTGCATTTGCTTCAGAAGAGAAGATGTAAAATCTAGATGATGTGCTGACAAAATTTATAGAACCACTGCAAGAAGAAGTTGGAGCACATTCCTCAATTGAAGATCAAATGGTGGATACTCCTCAAATTTCTGCACACATCTCACATACAATGGAGCACATTCCTCAGATTACAGTTCGTGATCCTGATAGAGCTGCAAGGACTAAAGGTCGTCCACGTAATGCAACTAGAATCCAGTCAGGTTTAGAACAAGCACAAGAAAAGAAAGAAAGGAAGAAATGTATATGTAGCAGATGTGGTGAACTCGGACATTATAGAACTAGCTGTAAAGTCAACTTGCCAAGGTACAGTTAATATTTTTCCATGAAAGTTCATAACCATTATAGAACTAGCTGTAAAGTCAACTTGCCAAGGTACAGTTAATATTTTTCCATGAAAGTTCATAACACATAAATTTTGCATTTAGTACAATTATATATTAATTTGTCATGTGATTTGCAGCTAAACAAAAATTGGTCTGGATTCTTGAGCACCAAATGCATTATATATTAATTTGTCATGTGATTTGCAGCTAAACAAAAATTGGTCTGGATTCTTGAGCACCAAATGCATGGATTTGTGGAAGGTAATGGTTAATACATACGAAATAACTTGTACATTGCCCTTTTTTTAATATAATGTGTTTTTTTAATTTTTTAATACAGATGAAGTTCTCAACAGAAACTAGAAATGGAAGCTACTTGTTTTGAGTTTATTTTGTAATGAAGCTAGTTGGAAATGTAGACTGCAAATGTACTATTGTTTTGAGTTTATTTTGTAATGGAAGCTACTTGGAAATGTAGACTGGGAATGGGTTTTGAGTTGTCAGGTGTGCCTCAACAGAAACTGGTTGTTATCCTTTATTGGGTCAGTTTTGTTGTCTATTTTGTTATCTATTTTGTTGATGAGTGTTTGTGTCTCCATTGGGCTGTTTTTCCATGCTGTGGCTCAGCTTTATGCATAACGAGAATACATCAATTTTTCCATGCTAACAATAAAAAGGTTGCTGTTTTGTCAAGTGTGATACAGGGCATGGCTACCAGGTATTGTGCAAGTCTGGGGAAAATTCTATTAAAGGATGATCTTTTAAGATGCAATAATAACTTTTATAGATAGTTTTTGTGTTTAGTTTAGTTTAACTGGACTGGAGATTATACAAGATAACATGCAATGATATTTGCAATACTTTCCGTTTAAGATTGCTGTTTTGTGATAAATCTATAAGCATCTGTATGTTTGGTCAAAACTTTTATTACGGAACATAGGAGATTTTTACAGAGTTTATAGGTCATTTCTGTCAAATTTTGGCTTCACTTCGGCCCCATGTACATTTGACTAACATGTTAATTAGCCCTGCAAAAATTCTAGAAGAATTAAAACCTCAAACCGAATTCATTCTCCAAAGAGATGAGACTAGCCGCTAAAAGTCCGCTAAGTCATTCAAGTCAAATGAAAACCAACACGCACATTCACTCTGTGTGAGCCACCAAACCAAGCCCCTCCCCAGACCAACACATTTTCTATAATTTTTTGGATGGATACATCGTGTGAGCCACCAAACCAAGCCCCTCCCCAGACCAACACATTTTCTATAATTTTTTGGATGGATACATCTTTTTTGGATGCATAAACTCCTGTCACCCAGCAACGTCTCCTTCCTTCTCTGGAGATAACTTCACAAGTAATGCATTGATTAGTAGAAAAAAGAACCACAATCATTGGCATATACATGATAGTCATGATAGCCATAGCTACTTCACAAGTAACTCATACACTCCTACTTCAATTCCCAGATTACAAAAGAACCACATTCATTGGCATATACATGATAGCCATAGCTGACAAGACGAACAATTTCCTCCAAAATTATGAGCACTGAATCCACCACTAAAACTAGGAGGTGCTATACTATTATAGATGGGTATAAACAATTTCCCAGATTACAAAAAAACCACAATCAAGTCTCTCTCCACACACTGAATAGATATAGCAAGAGAAGCTCTTTTCACACATTTGTCAAACATCAAACCCTTCCAATTAAAATCCAATAAAAATACCATGCATCATTTTGCGTTCAAGTGATCAATCAATGGATACATTCTTATACCCTACTTAGCACAAATCCAATAAAACTACCAAATACAAATCCTAGAAAAATACCAAATAAAAGAGAAAATATAACAAGCTTCAACAAATTCATAATATCAATCTCAATCTTTCTCTTTTCCCGCAATTCTCCACTTGACACGGCTCTTGAAACTTGCGGCGTCACGCTCGACTGCTTCGTCTGAACAAGCTCTGCCTTTGAACCTTCAAACTCCTCTTCATCAGATACCCATTTGAAGAATCCACAATTATTCACTTTCCAATTAGCGCATCCTAAAAATAATCGACCGGGGTTCGTCTTAGTTCCAGATCTAGAGAGTATAGCCCTCCTTCCACAATGGCACAACAGTCCATGACGATTACGATTGCTTGAAGATGACTCCATCGGCTACAGATACAAAAGTTTCAGAGATTTGCTACCCGGCATGGGATTCAGGAGTGATGGGTTCATAAATGAAATGGCTTGGCCACTCTGTCCAGCTGGGTAGCTAATCCTTGGCGGTTGTGAACCTGTAGTCAATGATGTGCTAGTAGGAAAGTAGATTGGTGAAGGATTATATGAATTTGGTTGCATCTGAGGAAAATAATGTGAGGAAGTGAATGATGTAATAGTATGAGATTGTGGCCCTGCATTACGAGGTAGCCTTTGCCCTGATGAGCTACCATTCACATGAGAATTCGTCCTCTTATCAAGCCTCAACTCCTCATGGGTCTCTGGATGAGTAATTTTTACGGTAGTTTTACGAGGGCCGCCAAAATTTGCAGGCTGCTGCTGCTGCTGAGAAAATTGTGGGGCAGTAATAGCAATCCCAAGGTTCCCAAACTGTGGACCAAGCTGGAGACCATGTTGAGGTCCAAAACCCAAGCCTTGTCCCTGGTGAATCATTGCCTGATGCTGCATAGGATGAGACTGGAGATTATGAGCAAACATCTGTTGTGGAACTTGGGAGGCATTTCCTATGGGCAAAGTCATAGGCATTTGTTGCAGAACAGGGGTACCGAATTGCATAGAGATTGGTGGTTGCTGAAATGGCATGGCCATAGATATATCAGGCATAGATACCAAAGCAGACTTTCGCTGCGGTGCAACTGATGCAGTTGGAATTTGTTGGTGCACCTCTCTCTTTACCTGCACAGGAGGGTGCAACTCACTAGTAGATTGTTCAATGCCAACTACATCCTTCCTTGCCGGTTCTGACTTCTGCTTAGGACCAGGAGGTATAGGCTGTGTGGGGACAGCCCTGAATGAATCATGATGAGCCTGCATGATAGAGTGAATGCCTTAAACATTTCATGAATAAGAGAACACTATAAAGTGTTGACAGTTATAATAGTGGTGGCTTTTTGGTTGATATTGGAAAGCATTTAAGTGATGAAGCATTAAAAACAACAAGAACAGTTATCAGCGTACCTGGTCTCGCAGCTGCTCGTCAAGGTTAGGTGGTGCTGAGCTGGTCCTGGCAGGAATCTACATAGTTAAAATAATTTTTGCAGTCATCCCAAATAGAACATGAAAAGGATCAATATATATGGTCCATTTCCACAAAGTATCAAATAACTGACAGTTACCTGCAACCCATTCACAATACCAGGACTTATAGTCCCAAATTGGAGAGCGAATGGCTTTGTCTCTTCTCCTGATGAAATGAAAATCGCACAATAACAAAAAATAACGTTAACATTAAAGAAAAACATTTTTGTATAATCTCAACTACACACGCATACGTACACACACACATACATATATATATGTATATATGTACATGTATACATAAATACATATATGTGTATGTGTATACATATATACACATATACATATAATCTCAACTACACACACATATATACATATATATGTATATACACATAGGGAGAGGTTCTAATAAAAACCTCCTTAGCCTAAAAACTAAAAACCAATATCATTCATTGGATCTAGATGAATCCAATGGATGGGAGTCAGTCAAACAGTCAATAGACACATGCATTAATTACATCAACAAACACAAATCTGGATTGACTGTAGTGAATCTGGATTCACTGTAGTGAAAAACGTGTTCGTTGAGGTAATGAATCTGGATTCACTGCAATGAAGTACGTGTTCATTGAGGTAATGAATCTGGAATCACTGTAGTGAATCTGGATTCACTACGTTGGGGTAATTAATGCATGTGTTTAATGAGGTAATTAATGCATGTGTCTGTTGACTGTTTGACTGAATCCTAGCCATTGGATGATATTGGTTTTTAGTTTTTAGGCTAAGGAGGTTTTTATTAGAACTTCTCCCTATATATATATATATA